GGCCCACCAATTCAAGCTCAATCTCGACAACACGGAACTGCTCTGACTCGGTCCAAGACCTCTCCATCACTGTCGACAACTCCACTGTGTCCCCCTCACAGAGTGCAAAGAACCTTGGCGTGACCCTGGACAATACCCTGTCGTTCTCGGGCAAACATCAAAACAGGGACTCGCTCCTGCAGGTTCATGTTGTACAATATTTGTAGAGTACAACCTTTCCTCACACAGTGCAGGTCCTAATCCAGGCACTCGTCATATCCCGTCTGGACTACTGCAACTCTCTGTTGGCTGGGCTCCCTTGTGCCATTGTGACTCACACAATGGTGTTTTATTTAGTTTGTTATTTATGGAGCCATCCCTTGTATCATTTTCTGGGCCTCCCAGGTATTTGCATTGAAAGTAATGTATATGATTATTGCCGCTAGAGGGAGCAGTGACGTCAATGGGGAGCGTTAGTGGGATCGTGAGGTCTTGGATGTTTCTTCCTCAATCTTGGAGAATGCCTACTACTGAACACTACTAACTTTTCTCAGTCTCATCATTCCATGTTAATTCAGAAATGTAATGCGCAAAAGTGCAATATGGCTCACGAAGTATTGAGAACATGGTTAACTATATAGTCCATGAGTTTGGTGATTTTTGAAGGCAATTGAAGGGAGTTTTAACCGAGTGAAAAACCAACAAATCCAGAACACCGCAGCCCGTCTGGTGTTCAACCTTCCCATGTCACCCCGCTCCTCCGTACACGCCATTGGCTGCCAGTCGAAGCTCGCATCCACTACAAGACTTATGGAGCAACAAGAGCAACCTAATAAGATATCTGTCTTATCCCCCCCCCCCCCCCCCCCCACCGCCAACAAATACAAATAAAATGCATTTTTATTTTCCTACTAGCACTGACTTTGCTGATAGCTTGAGGGACAATATACTTACTATGACTGAGATATGTGGTTGTCTCACCTCGCTATCTTAAGATGAATACACTAACTGTAAGTCACTCTGGAAAAGACCATCTGCTAAACGACTAAAATGTACAGTTGAAGTCGGAGGTTTACATACACCTTAGCCAAATACATTTAAACTCAGTTTTTCACAATTCCTGACATTTAATCCCTGTAAAAATTAATTCCCTGTTTTAGGTCAGTTAGGATCACCACTTTATTTTAAGAATGTGAAATGTCAGAATAATAGTGTGATTTATTTCAGCTTTTATTTCTTCATCACATTCCCAGTGGGTCAGAAGTTTACATACACTCAATTAGTATTTGGTAGCATTGCCTTTAAATTGTTTAACTTGGGTCAAACGTTTCGAGTAGCCTTCCACAAGCTTCTCACAATAAGTTGGGTGAATTTTGGCCCATTCCTCCTGACAGAGCTGGTGTAACTGAGTCAGGTTTGTAGGCCTCCTTGCACGCACACGCTTTTTCAGTTCTGCCCACACATTTTCTATAGGATTGAGGTCAGGGCTTTGTGATGGCCACTCCAATACCTTGACTTTGTTGTCCTTAAGCCATTTTGCCACAACTTTGGAAGTATGCTTGAGGTCATTGTCCATTTGGAAGACCCATTTGGGACCAAGCTTTAACTTCCTGACTGATGTCTTGAGATGTTGCTTCAATACATCCACATAATTTTCCTTCAACATGATGCCATCTATTTTGTGAAGTGCCCCAGTCCCTCCTGCAGCAAAGCACCCCCACAGCATGATGCTGCCACCCCCGTGCTTCACGGTTGGGATGGTGTTCTTCAGCTTGCAAGCAACCCCCTTTTTCCTCCAAACATAACGATGGTCATTATGGCCCAACAGTTCTAATTTTGTTTCATCAGACCAGAGGACATTTCTCCAAAAAGTATGATCTTTGTCCCCATGTGCAGTTGCAAACTTTAGTCTGGCTTTTTATGGTGGTTTTGGAGCAGTGGCTTCTTCCTTGCTGAGCGGCCTTTCAGGTTATGTCGATATAGGACTCGTTTTACTGTGGATATAGATACTTTTGTACCTGTTTCCTCCAGCATCTTCACAAGGTCCTTTGCTGTTGTTCTGGGATTGATTTGCATTTTTCGCACCAAAGTACGTTCATCTCTAGGTGACAGAATGAGTCTCCTTCCTGAGCGGTATGATGGCTGTGTGGTCCCATGGTGTTTATACTTGCGTACTATTGTTTGTACAGATGAACGTGGTACTTTCAGGCGTTTGGAAATTGCTCCCAAGGATGAACCAGACTTGTGGAGGTCTACCTTTTTTTTTCTGAGGTCTTGGCTGATTTCTTTTGATTTTCCCATGATGTCAAGCAAAGAGGCACTGAGTTTGAAGGTAGGCCTTGAAATACATCCACAGGTACACCTCCAATTGACTAAAATGATGTCAATTAGCCTATCAGAAGCTTCTAAAGCCATGACATAATTTTCTGGAATTTTCCAAGCGGTTTAAAGGCACAGTCAACTTAGTGTATGTAAACTTCTGACCCACTGGAATTGTGATACAGTGAAATAATCTGTCTGTAAACAATTGTTGGAAAAATGACTTGTCTCATGCACAAAGTAGATGTCCTAACCGACTTGCCAAAACTATAGTTTGTTAACAAGAAATTTGTGGAGTGGTTGAAAAACTAGTTTTAATGACTCCAACCTAACTGTATGTAAACCTCAGACTTCAACTGTAAATGTAATGTTTTAGCATAGCTACGCTTTAGCCTTCAAAATGGGTTTAAACCCATTCAGCTGAAGTCATTCCTGTGTGGACAGAACAGTCAAGTTGAACCTAACGCATGTAAAACCAACAAAGTTACCCGTTGTAGTGGAATCGTTCTAAACCGTGGATAAGGTAAGTGACAAACGTGCAATAGCACCTCTTTCTATGTAGTACAGTAAAACTCCAGCCCACATGTTGCAGGTGGTCCCATAACCCTTTTACAGTATATGATAATATATATTTTTTATTTTATTTCCAAGCATAAAACACAAAAGTACAACAATGCATATTCATTGATATTTTAATAGATCAGTGCTTTTATTTTATTTTGTTCAGTCGTTGAATGTTCTCCCTCTGTTGTTCTATTTCCAGTCAAACAGTCAGTGAGACAGTTTAAAATAATTTTATTGATTCATTTTTAGCACTAATTATAATCATCATCAGTGAATGTATTTAACCAAAATGCAATAATTTACATCAGATATATCTTTGCCCTTTGGATTATACAATATGTACCACGATGAGGAAAACAGAACATAACATCCTGAGGAAAAAGTGGAAGCATTTTCATACATAACTCCAGTAGAATCATGGGAAAAAATATTTAAACATTTCAATAAAGAGAAGTAAAAAAGTAATGATTAAAGAAATACAATCAATCACCAGGCCCCTTGTTTTATTGTAAATTCAATATTGATTGAGAAGAAAAAAAACATTCCAGTTCATTAAACAGAACAAAAAATCCTCAAAGCTCTTCTCTGTCCTGGCACCCCAATTGTGGAACCAGCTTCCCCCTGAAGCTAGGACAGCAGTCCCTGCCCAACTTCTGAAAACATCTGAAACCTTACCTCTTCAAAGAGTATCTTAAATAATCCCACTGCATTTTAAAAAAAGCCTATTGTGAACTCACACTTGACTCCTTCCCCCTTACTAGTGCTGACTTTGCTGATAGCTACTTTGAGGAAAAATGTACTTACTATGACTGCGACATGTGGTTGTCCCACCTACAGTGGCTTGCGAAAGTATTCACCCCCCCCCTTAGCATTTTTCCTATTTTGTTGCCTTACAACCTGGAATTTAAATGGATTTTTGGGGGGTTTGTATCATTTGATTTACACCAACATGCCTACCACTTTGAAGATGCAAACTATTTTTTATTGTGAAACCAACCAGAAATAAGACAAAAAAACAGATAACTTGAGCGTGCATAACTATTCACCCCCCCAAAGTCAATACTTTGTAGCGCCACCTTTTGCAGCAATTACAGCTGCAAGTCTCTTGGGGTATGTCTCTATAAGCTTGTCACATCTAGCCATTGGGATTTTTGCCCATTCTTCAAGGCAAAACTGCTCCAGTTCCTTCAAGTTGGATGGGTTCCGCTGGTATACAGCAATCTTTAAGTCATACCACAGATTCTCAATTGGATTGAGGTCTGGGCTTTGACTAGGCCATTCCAAGACATTTAAATGTTTCCCCTTAAACCACTTGAGTGTTGCTTTAGCAGTATGCTTAGGGTCATTGTCCTGCTGGAAGGTGAACCTCCATCCCAGTCTCAAATCTCTGGAAGACTGAAACAGGTTTCCCTCAAGAATTTCCCTGTATTTAGCGCCATCCATCATTCCTTAAATTCTGACCCGTTTCCAAGTCCCTGCCGATGAAAAACATCCCCACAGCATGATGCTGCCACCACCATGCTTCACTGTGGGGATGGTGTTCTCGGGGGGATGAGAGGTGTTGGGTTTGCGCCAGACATAGCGTTTTCCTTGATGGCCAAAAAGCTCAATTTTAGTCTCATCTGACCAGAGTACCTTCTTCCATATGTTTGGGGAGTCTCCCACATGCCTTTTGGCGAACACCAAACGTGTTTGCTTATTTCTTTCTTTAAGCAATGGCTTTTTTTCTGGCCACTCTTCCGTAAAGCCCAGCTCTGTGGAGTGTACGGCTTAAAGTGGTACTTTGGACAGATACTCCAATCTCCGCTGTGGAGCTTTGCAGCTCCTTCAGGGTTATCTTTGGTCTCATCATGTGACACTTAAAGTCCACCTGTGTGCAATCTAACTAATTATGTGACTTCTGAAGGTAATTGGTTGCACCAGATCTTATTTAGTGGCTTCATAGCAAAGGGGGTGAATACATATGCACACACCACTTTTCCATTATTTATTTTTTGAAACAAGTTAATTTTTTCATATCACTTCCCCAATTTGGACTATTTTGTGAATGTCCATTACATGAAATACAAATTAAAATCCATTTAAATTACAGGTTGTAATGCAACAAAATAGGAAATTTTTGGGGGATGAATACTTTTGCGAAGCACTGTATCTATCTTAAGATGAATGCACTAACTGTAAGTCGCTTTGGATAAGAGGCTAAATTACTAAAATGTGTTTCAATGAAGTGGTTTCAATATTTTTTATTTACTTTCCAACATTGTTTAAAACTGATATTTGTAATCAATTTACAATATGTTCAATCTTTAAATCTATACTGACCAGGTTTCTCTGTCTTAATAACACTTTTTAATGAGAGGAACTCCCAAGAAGCCATCGGTGCCAAGAGCACCACACTAGCACCCCACAGCAGACAGAATCTCCTGAGGTCCATAGTCAGATGCTCTATTCCCTGCTCCACTCCACTGGTTGCTGATTGAGGTGACTGATCATTGTGATGATATGTCATAGTAGTAATCCCTCAGTCTCGGCTCAACAACCGCAAATCCAGGCCTTTCATCCGCCCTGTAGGAGATAAACAAATGATAAGTAAACAGCCTAGTGTCCTATACCAGAGCCAGGTCATTAACAAGATGCCAGGTAAGCAACAATAATCAGTACTACTATCCAGATAGTAATATCCACTTTTGCCTCAGAACTGAATTTTAATAGTAAGTTGTGGGCCAGTTCTGCTATCTCCCTTTCTCCATTGTCATACTGTATGGAAACTGTAACAAGGTTTTGGATGATATTTTCTTCCCACAGATAAGCTGAAATAGGCTACAGTTTCCTCTAAACCCTGTTCTAAGGTCAGTGTTAGATTTGACCTCCTAACTACTGAACCAGGGTCAGATATTATTCCTACTCCTCATTGTTACCGTTCCCTTCTGATTCCCGGGTAATCTGATTCTAGATCTGTAATTTGGGCCCCTCCTCACTCACTTGTATGTCCAGCACTTCTTCATGAGGTCATACATCTCCGGGGGACAGTTGGGGGGACTTTCCATGCGCTCACCATTCTCAATCATCTGGATCACCTCGTTTCCTTTCATGCCCTGGGGAACAGAGGGTGACATGATGACACTGCTCAGACACTAATGGCATACCAGACAGAAGCTGCATCCCAAATGGCACCCTATTCCCTATATAGTGCGCTACTTTTGAACAGAGCTCTAGTTAAAAAGTAGTGCACTATATAGTGAATAGGGTGCCATTTGGGACACAGCCAGACATTGCAAAAGTGCTTTGACTGAGACTCAGACTTAGACTATTAGATAAGCCATCACTTAATGTGTCATTATGTCAAATAAAGGCCAAAGGATGCATTGTACTCCCTGTATACACTGAGTGTACAAAACATTAAGAACACCTTCCTAATATTGAGTTTCACCCCCACCCCCAATCCCCCTTCCTTTGGCCTTCAGAACAGCCTCAATTCGTCGGGGCATGGACACTACAAGGTGTTGAAAGCTTTCCGAAGGGATGCTGGCCCATGTTGACTCAAATGCTTGTGTCAAGTTGGCTGGATGACCATTCTTGATACACACGGGAAACTGTTGAGCGTGAAAAACCCAGCAGCGTTGCAGTTCTTGACACAAACCGGCGCGCCTGGCACCACTACCATACCCCGTTCAAAGGCACTTACATATTTTGTCCTGCCCATTCACCCTCTGAATGGCACACATACACAATCCATGTCTCAGTTGTCTCAAGGCTTAAAAATCATTCTTTAACCTGTCTCCTCCCCTTCATCTACACTGATTGAAGTGGATTTACGGTGAGGGAAAAAAAGTATTTGATCCCCTGCTGATTTTGTACGTTTGCCCACTGACAAAGAAATTATCAGTCTATAATTTTAATGGTAGGTTTATTTGAACAGTGAGAGACAGAATAACAACAAAAAAATCCAGAAAAACGCATGTCAAAAATGTTATAAATTGATTTGCATTTTAATGAGGGAAATAAGTATTTGACCCCCTCTCAATCAGAAAGGTTTCTGGCTCCCAGGTGTCTTTTATACAGGTAACGAGCTGAGATTAGGAGCACACTCTTAAAGGGAGTGCTCCTAATCTTAGCTTGTTACCTCTATAAAAGACACCTGTCCACAGAAGCAATCAATCAATCAGATTCCAAACTCTCCACCATGGCCAAGACCAAAGAGCTCTCCAAGGATGTCAGGGACAAGATTGTAGACCTATACAAGGCTGGAATGGGCTACAAGACCATCGCCAAGCAGCTTGGTGAGAAGGTGACAACAGTTGGTGCGATTATTCGCAAATGGAAGAAACACAAAAGAACTGTCAATCTCCCTCAGCCTGGGGCTCCATGCAAGATCTCACCTTGTGGAGTTGCAATGATCATGAGAACGGTGAGGAATCAGCCCAGAACTACACGGGAGGATCTTGTCAATGATCTCAAGGCAGCTGGGACCATAGTCACCAAGAAAACAATTGGTAACACACTAAGCCGTGAAGGACTGAAATCCTGCAGCGCCCGCAAGGTCTCCCTGCTCAAGAAAGCACATATACAGGGCTGTCTGAAGTTTGCCAATGAACATCTGAATGATTCAGAGGAGAACTGGGTGAAAGTGTTGTGGTCAGATGAGACCAGAATGGAGCTCTTTGGCATCAACTCAACTCGCCGTGTTTGGAGGAGGAGGAATGCTGCCTATGACCCCAAGAACACCATCCCCACCGTCAAACATGGAGGTGGAAACATTATGTTTTGGGGGTGTTTTTCTGCTATGGGGACAGGACAACTTCACCGCATCAAAGGGACGATGGACGGGGCCATGTACTGTCAAATCTTGGGTGAGAACCTCCTTCCCTCAGCCAGGGCATTGAAAATGGGTTGTGGATGGGTATTCCAGCATGACAATGACCCAAAACACACGACCAAGGCAACAAAGGAGCGGCTCAAGAAGAAGCACATTAAGGTCCTGGAGTGGCCTAGCCAGTCTCCAGACCTTAATCCCATAGAAAATCTGTGGAGGGAGCTGAAGGTTCGAGTTGCCAAACGTCAGCCTCGAAACCTTAATGACTTGGAGAAGATCTGCAAAGAGGAGTGGAACAAAATCCCTCCTGAGATGTGTGCAAACCTGGTGGCCAACTACAAGAAACATCTGACCTCTGATTGCCAACAAGGGTTTTGCCACCAAGTACTAAGTCATGTTTTGCAGAGGGGTCAAATACTTATTTCCCTCATTAAAATGCAAATCAATTCATAAATTTTTTTACATGCGTTTTTCTGGATTTTGTTGTTGTTATTCTGTCTCTCACTGTTCAAATAAACCTACCATTAAAATTATAGACTGATCATGTCTTTGTCAGTGGGCAAACGTACAAAATCAGCAGGGGATCAAATACTTTTTTCACTCACTGTAACAAGTGACATCAATAAGGGATCATAGCTTTCACCTGTATTCACCTGGGTCAGTCTATGTCATGGAAAGAGCAGTTCTTAATGTTTTGTACACTCAGTAAAAAAAACGGAATTCTTTCATCCTACTCCTGGAGACTCACAGGGGGTGCAGGCTTTTGTTCCAGCACAGTAGATCTACTAGCATGCCTGCTTCAACTAATCTGGGGTTAGACGATTGTCAAAGCATGATTCTTAAAGCACACTTTTCGAAAATGATTTAAATACAGTAACAACCAATGTACTAGGTACATTTTTGGAGCATGAGTGACATACTGTACCTTGTATGGTGAAATACTGTACCTTGTATGGTTTCATCCCTAGCGTGTATGCCTCCCACATCAGGACCCCAAAGCTCCACACGTCACTCTTACAGGAGAACTTGAAATAGTTCATACACTCTGGGGCGTACCATTTCACTGGCCACTTCCCATGGCCTTTTGCCTAGAGAGCAGGGTCGAAGCAAACAACAGGGAATGGATTAACCCTAACCCTAGAGAGCAGGGTCGAAGCAAACAACAGGGAATGGATTAACCCTAACCCTAGAGAGCAGGGTCGAAGCAAACAACAGGGAATGGATTAACCCTAACCCTAGAGAGCAGGGTCGAAGCAAACAACAGGGAATGGATTAACCCTAACCCTAGAGAGCAGGGTCGAAGCAAACAACAGGGAATGGATTAACCCTAACCCTAGAGAGCAGGGTCGAAGCAAACAACAGGGAATGGATTAACCCTAACCCTAGAGAGCAGGGTCGAAGCAAACAACAGGGCATTATATATACTCTGTAAAGCACTACTGTGGCAATAGCTCACTGTCAGGGGGTGGTACTTATTTATATACTTACTTAGAGTATACCTAAGTAATTCATGCCATAGTACTTATATTTTATATATACTTTTTCAGATCTCTCAGTGAATTGTAGGGAATAGAGTACGATTTGTCTAACTGACATTGGCTGTGACTTCCTGTCTTTCTGAAAACCTAGTCCAAACCTGACTAAACATCGTCATCATCTAGCGGTGCTACTGGTAATTACATGATTAGCAGTGGCTGCATCCCAATTCCCCACACTTCTCCCCAAAGTGCACTTGCACCCTCCAACTCATGGATTCGACAGCATTGGATTGGTGTAAGCATTGGCTGAAGGAAGTTTCCACCATTGTTAAATCCCTGACTGGGAGTGTGTACGTGCACACTTCTGGGAGAAGCGTAGAGAATCAGGACAAAGCCTAGGGTGACGTAGACCTGTCTGGTTTTGTCTTAATACTCTTTTAAGTCCTCCATTCCTTGTCGCCTCTGCTTCATGACCACTGTGTGGAGAAACGAATGGACAGGATTCACTCTGTTGCTTTCCTACCTATCATGTCCTCTCAGTACAGTGTTTATGATGCAAAGGAGACGAGGAAATTAAAAGGAAGATGTCCTGTGTTTTATATACATTTCCACACAATGAGTTTGGAATAATACTGTGAGATTGTGAAAATGATATAATGCCCCTTTTTTAGTGTAAGAGCTGTTTGAAAAGACCGCCTGAAATGTCAGCCTGGGAGGGAGTTTTGGCCTGCCTGGTGACATCACCAGGTGGTCAATTAGTTAATAGACCAATAAGAAAGAGTTCCAAACCTCTCTGCCAATTACAACTATTTTTCATTTTCCCCCTCCCCACTCAGACCACTCCCAGACAGTCCTAGCAAAAATCTTGCTTGAGAAAATGCTCTTTGCTAAGAAGCTATTTTTGTTTATTTTTGACCATTTTGATTCAAAACAATGACAGTAAGGTACCTACTTGTTACTCAGAAATTATTTCATATTGAGATAAAAGAGGCTGCATTGGACCTATAAGGACATCTGAGATAACCCACATTACTGTAGAAGTGTTTACCCTGCTGTCATTTTGGACAGTCTCTCTTCAAAAGTTATTTTATCTGGATAAATAAAGGTTCAATAGAGATTTCCTATAGTTCACTAAAGGTCAAAACTCAGTTGACGTGATAATCATTTCCTTTTTTTAGGATAACTTTTTAGGAGTTCCAAACTCCTTTCATACCATATTTGATAGATTTTTATGACAGGACAATTAGAAGTAAAATCGGCGATAGACATTAGAAGATTAGGCACAGACAGTCAGAACTGAGATTCAAACCCCTGTCACCAGGGGGTCACCAGGGGGTCACCAGGCGCAACAATAATTATATCTGAATTGGAATACCTTATAGTAGTTCTCCTCCTCTGTGAGAGCCTTGGACAGGCCAAAGTCGCTGATCTTGGCATAGTGCTGGGTGACCAGCAGGACGTTCCTGGCCGCAAGGTCCCTGTGCACAAAGTTGTGCTCCTCCAGGTATTTCATGCCCATAGCAACCTGGTGCACCAGTTCTGTGATGTTCTTAATGGAGATCTGTCTGTGGACAGGAACAATGGCTGTAAGTGACACTGAACACCGCATTATACTGTATCTCAGGTGTCAAACTCCAGTCCTCAAGGACCGAGTGTCTGCAGCTTTTCGCTCCTCCCTTGTACTTGATTGCTCAATTAAGGTCCCTGATGAGTTAGGAACTCCCCTCACCTGGTTGTCTAGGTCTTAATTGATGAGTTAGGAACTCCCCTCACCTGGTTGTCTAGGTCTTAATTGATGAGTTAGGAACTCCCCTCACCTGGTTGTCTAGGACTTAATTGATGAGTTAGGAACTCCCCTCACCTGGTTGTCTAGGTCTTAATTGATGAGTTAGGAACTCCCCTCACCTGGTTGTCTAGGTCTTAATTGATGAGTTAGGAACTCCCCTCACCTGGTTGTCTAGGTCTTAATTGATGAGTTAGGAACTCCCCTCACCTGGTTGTCTAGGTCTTAATTGGACACAAATTGAAAGGGAAAAAACTAAAACTAGCAGACACTAGGCCCTCCATGGAATGAGTTTGACACCCCTGTGTGTAGCGCTGAGATGAAGATTTTGGTTTTGGGGTTTTAAGGGTCAGCGAAGGAAGTAATCCCTTAGAACCCAAAATCAAATATCACTTGTTCGCTGGACAGCTTCTCCATTTAGCCAGCGTCGCATAAATGTTAACGTTGCTTAAGTAAGAGGTCACCTTCCGCCATATTGCTGTACAGGGTGCTAGCCCAGGAGGCTGAGACGTGATCCAGAGTCCTGTGGCCCATTGTGACATACAGTAGCTACGCAGCTCTGCGACCACCGTCTGCCGGGGTTGAACAGCCTGACCGTGCACCTCCCGAAAATGCTGCCATTCAACTACGTAAATGTGATGACGGATAAATAATTGAGCCGCGGGTGAGAATTCGAAAAAAGTATGAATGCCAATAGACATTCTAGAACACAGGTGTGCGAACTCAGTTTGGATTCTTTAAAAATGTTTAAGGGGCGTAGGTTTGGGATTTGGCCTTACACCATAATTGTGAGACTGAGGGCTGTACTACCGAAGAGAGAGACTGACTGAGGGAAGGGAACGTACTTGTGCCTCTGGAGGTACTTGTGGAGTGGCCCCAGTTCGGCCAGCTCCATGACCAGCATGAGGCTCTCGGCCTCGCAGATGCCGATCATGCGGACGATGTACGGGTTGTCCAGCTGCTGCATGACGTTGGCTTCCCGCAGCATCTCCTCCTTCACTGCCGGGTTGTTGTCATCGTTCTTCAGGATCTTCACTGCCACCGGCTTCTCTGTCCTGGGGTAATGGAGAGATGAAGGTGATGTCACTGCTCAGTGCAAAGCTTATGGTCAGCATATTTTGAACGATGATGTTGACGTGATGTTTTTGAGAATGTTGCACTGTGCACTTTACTTACCTTCTATGTAACTTTGGACTATTGTTGCTGTAATGTCGATAATTAGTATTGTTATATTTACAGTATTTTGATGGCTCCCATGCCTGATGCACTAGCATTGTATGTAGTTCCTTTGTATTCAGTATCATTGTGATTCATGTATATTTTTTTTTTATGTGCTCCTTGATGCAAAACCAATTTCCCTCTGGGACAAAGTCTAAACTTGAATTTGAAGCTAGCTACTTTATAACTAACTGAAATGGTAACTGTTACAGAAAAGTTGAGCAGTTATAGTTGAGTAATTTTTTTCTTTACTTTTATTTTGACAGGGAGGGATGCTATTAGTGGCATCAATCATTTCAGGTTATTTCACCAATTTGTGATGCTTTCTAGCTGTCTGACCTCTGCTGCAGCATCCTAGCAGTGTTGTAGGCCAATCTACAGTCCATTCTCAAGACCACATATTGAGTGTCTCGGTCTTGTCTTGGTGTCGGATACATTTTTACTTGGTCTTAACTCAGCCTCGGACAATGAGGACTCATCATTTTCCGAGACCAGACAAAACCAGAGGAGTCAGTCAGAGCATAAAATCGCTTTGCCAGGCCAAATACCCACACTCCTTTGATGACACATGAATATCTTTTTGCCTATTGAAACCTTGGCCTCCTATTTTACTGGTATCATTACTGTCCTTTACTTTCATTGAAAAATATTCTCAAACTTATCGCTCGTCAGAATTTCATTGATTTGCTGTAAGGGAAGAGTGGGGGAAATGTTTTGAAAGTTGGGCGCTCACTATTAGAAAAGGGAGACCGGGGGAAGTTGTAACATATATACATATACAGTGTATATAACATTTAAAAAAATCTATTTTTGTAATTGCCCTCATTCTGAATGTCTAAAGATGTCTAAATGTGAACACAGAAACACTGGACATTTTGAACTCTTATTAACGTTCAATTAGCTACCAGATGCTACTGCAGCGGAGGTCAGCTAACCTTAGCTAGCTTAGTCTTATGCAGTGACATCACCCGCATGAAGACATGATGTAATTGTTGTCGCTGAACTATAACAGCTGGTTTAGTGGTATCGACGGTTGACTTAGCAGTGGTGTCTATTCTACGTATGGGAAATATTATTAATCAGAATCATATTAGGTTGGATTTTTTTGTGGACTATCCCTTTCATTTTTTTTTTAAGAATATGTAATTAGAAACAGAAATTCATATTTTCATTTTTAAGCTGTGAAGTTGACATACTTCCTCATTTTGTACATGCCCCTCATCACAGTTCCAAAGTTCCCAGAGCCCAACTCTCCATCTTCCAGGAAGAGCTGTTTGCGGTCCACAGTGGAGGTCCTCAGCTCGTCTGGGTCAGCATATGGACTCTCGTACACCTCTGTGTCCATTGGCATGCACTCTGTTTGAGACAGGACACACACCCCATACGGTGTGATAACATCAATTTCGATTCAATTAAAATTCAATACAACTTTGGGCTGCATCAGTACATCAAAATATATAAGAGTGGGCCACTCCAAACAGGATTTGTCTCAAGGGTTATGACCCCTCCCATCACTCACCTTTGCTGACCATATTATTTGAAGCCCTGGTGTCATAAGGGTTGAGATTATCTGTGGTTTTGCTGAGAGAGTTGACCCTGCCCTATTACCGGATACAATAAGAGAGGGGTCAAGGTACAAATAATATTGATGGTACATAGATAATTTGGAGAGAACACTGCCGGAATGTTAACTGAAATGGTTTGATTAGTTGGTTGATTGATTGACACAAAAGCATAAACGCCCCATGACCTTCTCAAGCAGAACACCAATCTCTGTCTCCTTCATGGTACACTTATTTCAGTGATCAAAATACACCACTGTTGATTAGGTTGCAATTTGTGTGGACTTTAAATGGGGGCTTCACATTGTTTGGTTGTTGTTTGTCACCTTCAGAATACTTTGAATCACTTTTTTGGCTGTGCATGAAAGCCATATTTCTTCTCCAAATTCAAACATCTCACTGTAGATGACGTCATCAGGTGATTGATTAAAGGTGAAAGGTAGGGGTGGGGGGGGGGGGGGGGGGGGGTCACTGGAGATTACTATCCAGTAAAAACACAAACATGTTTCTCTCATTTCAATTTGGTTTTCCAAATGGAGTTAAAACGCTAATTCAAATGTGTGTACTCCTAAATTAGACATCTTTCTCCTAGTGACATCCTTGACTCAAGTAGTATGCTGTGAATGTGAAGAAAAGCTACTGTCACAAAATAGTCTTAAGGTACATCGTGTCACATGTTGCCTGATGACTCAAACATCATTATCTCCGCTGCTCTATGTTCGCTACATACTCACTACTATCGTTGAAGTCATTTTGCGGTGACGTCAAAATGAGGGGTTGTTGTACAAAACAAAGTCAGTGATTGGATCGTCTCTAACCAATCAGAGTATCAAAGCCAATGACGAATTTTCAAAAAGCTGCCACGTGTGTTCAGGCTCTGGCCCAACCCATCGGTTTCTGGGACCAATCAGAACGGTTAGAATGTGTTTTTGCGTTCTAGAAATCGTTGGGGAGGTACTCAGATCCAGACTCATTGCGGAGAAGAAACTAACGTCCGTGGACGTGGCCTAGTGTTTGGCCAGAGCAAGGAGTTTGGGTAGCCAGGCTTGTTTATATCAATGTAGACCTACAATGTAGATATACAACTGAATACATTTTTTTCATTGATTTGTGTCTCAGTGTGCAGGTCACTGCAATACAAGGGAATCCATGAAGGAGAAGAGACTGCATCAACAACAACAAAAAAAGTAAAACGGAATGAATGATTCACGCAGAAGGTAAAAGGGAAAACCAAGGGCAGATGTCAGGAACTTTAAATACATGCATTTGAAGGAGGGATAGGGAACAAATGTAACCAAGAGCCAGTATTGCAGCCTAAAAAAGTCTGCAGCCAAACCGCATTAATTACAGTAGACTTAACTCTCTTGTGGGCTGGTTTCAGACATGAATCGGGCACCAAATGGCTCACTGACCATTTGTCCCTTACCCCTGCTTTAAGGCATGGCATGCCTAGATTAGGAAGCGTTCCTTAGCTTAACTACCACTTGAGAAATGTAATCCCATGGGACTGAACACCAACAACTGAACTGGTTCACTTCCTCACAACTTAATCTCTATGGAAACAATATCTAATTTTTCTGCAATTATAAACAAGAGACTACAGAGTACTATGAGACTTCAATGTTTTCAGAAGGGTTTTGTAATTCACCAAAGTGATCTCTAGGTGGTGTAAAAGTTCTAATAGACTGTAATGATGTCTGTTTGACTCAGGCCAGTTCTCAATGATTAAATGTTAAAACAGAATTTCAAAAGAGTAAAGATCTTTGGATAAAGGATAATTGCATCACTTTATAAACTGTGAATTATATTAAATTATAATGTTCTTGTCAAGAAAGACATAATTAATTCTCACAGTTTGAGATCATGATGAATAATCAACGTAAAATGAACATCAACCGGAAGTAATTCTACGAGTCAATTGTCATTTTTATTTCACTTTTTAAATCATAAGCGTGAAATTCCAAATGTTGTCTGAACATATTGCATTGTTGATTCATTCGTTGATTTATTATTATGGGCCTTTCTCAAAATCATGTAGCGCAGTGATACTATATTAAAGGTACACTCATCAAGATGACATCATTCACACCAAGGTGACTTCCTACTTACAGACAACAACATAGTCACAATTCAAATCTGACAAGACTACCATTAATGGGTCTTCACAATTTGCGCTCTCCCATTTCCACATTAGGAAGATGTTAGTTTGTATGTAGTAAGACCTGTCGTGTATGATGATGTCAATCATGCGGACTGTCCCTTTAAGGGCTTGATTAAATCTGTATCGCGGAAGTTCAGCGCTATAAGGTTCGTGGAGACTGCATTCATGGTAAACACTGCATATAATATAATATGCCATTTAGCAGACGCTTTTATCCAAAGCGACTTACAGTCATGCGTGCATACATTTTCTTTTATGTATGGGTGGTCCCGGGGATCGAACCCACTACCTTGGCGTTACAAGCGCCGTGCTCTACCAGCTGAGCTACAGAGGACCACATACGCCGGCTCAATCGGAAATTACCTTTAAATTTCAATCGCGCTATAGCGCAGAACTTCCGCGATACGGATTTAATTGAGCTCTAAGTTAGTCGGCCACATTCAATTGGTTACATTTCTAAGGTCGTCTATTCCAACCTTTCATTTCTTGGGGGAATGTGAGGGGGATATGAATGGAGGAAAGAGTGCAGGTAAGTTTCAGAGGGGTGTTAGTATGTAGCAATCCACACTTTAGCAAAATCACACTTTTTGAGTGTTAAGGGTTGGGGGATGCACGAGGCCTACTGTAACCACTGTGGGGGTTAAGAGGAGGGAGGAGGGTGTGTTGGGGCACCTTTTTTCGGCCAGGTATGGGTATGGAGTAGGATTTGAGCCTGGAGAGCATTCCACCTGCTGCCTCCAATAGCTAGAAACCACAGTTTCAGAGAGGGTCATGTTATTAAGGGAAATGGTTATTAAAGTCTGTTGTTTAGTTAAGGGGAAAATGTTAGCTCACAATCTGAACTAAAGGTGTGACGCTGAAACACTTATTCTCATCAGAAGCATTCCTTTTTCATTTTCCATGCATTTCTGTAATATTTGATCATTAAAGACCGGGTTGGAATTCAATCAAATCTGCACTGTGGAACCTGCACTGTGGGGGGAAAAGTATTGTTACAGTTTCACATTCAAGCACATTTTTAAGTAATGTTATAATTTATACAGTGTTTACTGGGTGAAACCAAACGAAACTCATTAGGTTTTTAATGAAAGTGCTCTCATGCAAGGCAAAGACATGGCTATTTACTATGGAACGCCGTTTGGGTCTTTGGTCAATATTGGGGGAGTGTTCCTTCCTGAGTTCCCGGTTCAAGGTATGTCTATGCTACAGGCAACACAAACAGCTGTGATTCATTCAATCATTCGATTATAGAATGTTGTGTGTGCTGAATGTGCAGTTGAACTTCCTTCTGGGGATTTTAGGCTGTTTAAAGAAAACCGAACCAGGGATTACAGTTCTCCTGGCCCATAGAATACTTTCAGGGTGAGGAACCATCTAGAATCAAGTTGTAAAACCCTGAACATCCCCCTTTAGGTATTTCACAAAGATGAGGGAAGGTGAGCATTTGGGAAACTTCTTCTCAGTATTTTATCATGAAGTACAGTACTGTGTGAAAATGTTAATGTGAAAACTGTATTTGATAGGATGTGTGCTTGTTTGATAAAGGCAATAAAGATATATTTTTAAAAAAACATTCTGTATTATTGAACACTAGACCAAACACCAAATTGATGCACAAAAAGCTCATAGGCCTGAGATATAGTGCCTTCAGAAAGTATTCACACCCCTTGACTTTTTCCACATTTTGTTGTATTACAGCCTGAATTAAAAATTGGATTGAATTGAGATTTTGTCTCACTGATCTACATGCAATATCCCATAATGTCAAAGTGGAATTACGTTTTAGAAATGAAAAGCTGAAATGTCTAAACAAGCCTAAATAAGTTCAGGAGTAAAAATGTGCTTAACAAGTCTCATAATGAGTTGCATGGACTCACTCTGTGTGCAATAATAGTGTTTAAAAACCCCTAGAGTCGATTGACGCACCGAAACAGAATAAAATAATCCCCTTCAAAATCCATCAGGATGTGTCTCAATCCATCAGGATGTGTCTCAATCCATGAGGATGTGTCTCAATCCATCAGGATGTGTCTCAATCCAACGCATCCACCAATGTCACACTTCCACATCTGCTGTGAAAGGTGGCAGAGCTAGAGCGGTGTTTATATAGTATATATATATATATATATATATATATATATACACATATATATATCCACTACCATTGGGGTCACTTAGAAATGTCCTTGTTTTCGAAAGAAAAGCTATTTTTTTGTCCATTTAAAATAAAATAAAATTGATCAGAAATACAGTGTAGACATTGTTAATGTTGTAAATGGCTATTGTAGCTGGAAACGGCTGATTTTTAATGGAATATCTACATAGGCGTACAGAGGCCCATTATCAGCAACCATCAGTCCTGTGTTCCAATGGCACGTTGTGTTTGCTAATCCAAGTTTATCATTTTAAAAGGCTAATTGATAATTTGAAAACCCTTTTGCAATTATGTTAGCAAAGCTGAAAACTGTTGTGCTGATTAAAGAAGCAATTAAACTGGCCTTCTTGAGACTAGTTGAGTATCTGGAGCATCAGCAATTGTGGGTTCGATTACAGGCTCAAAATGGCCAGAAACAAAGAACTTTCTTCTGAAACTCGTCAGTCTATTCTTGTTCTGAGAAATGAAGGCTATTCCATGCAAGAAATTGCCAAGAAACTGAAGATCTCGTAGAACGCTGTGTACTACTCCCTTCACAGAACAGCGCAAACTGGCTCTAACCAGAATAGAAAGAGGAGTGGGAGGCACCGGTGCACAACTGAGAAACAGACGCCTCACAGGTCCTCAACTGGCAGCTTCATTAAATAGTACCCGCAAAACACCAGTCTCAACGTCAACAGTGAAGAGGTGACTCCGGGATGCTGACCTTCTAGGCAGAGTTGCAAAGAAAAAGCCATATCTCAGACTGCCCATCTTAATATTTTATTTTTATTGGCCAGTCTGAGATATGGCTTTTTCTTTGCAACTCTGCCTAGAAGGTCAGCATCCCAGAGTCGCCTCTTCACTGTTGACGTCGAGACTGGTGTTTTCTAAGTGACCCCAAACTTTTGAACGGTAGTGTATATATATATATATACACTGCTCAAAAAAATAAAGGGAACACTTAAACAACACAATGTAACTCCAAGTCAATCACACTTCTGTGAAATCAAACTGTCCACTTAGGAAGCAACGCTGATTGACAATACATTTCACATGCTGTTGTGCAAATGGAATAGACAACAGGTGGAAATTATAGGCAATTAGCAAGACACCCCCAATAAAGGACTGGTTTTGCAGGTGGTGACCACAGACCACTTCTCAGTTCCTATGCTTCCTGGCTGATGTTTTGGTCACTTTTGAATGCTGGCGGTGCTTTCACTCTAGTGGTAGCATGAGACAGAGTCTACAACCCACACAAGTGGCTCAGGTAGTGCAGCTCATCCAGGATGGCACATCAATGCGAGCTGTGGCAAGAAGGTTTGCTGTGTCTGTCAGCGTAGTGTCCAGAGCATGGAGGCGCTACCAGGAGACAGGCCAGTACACCAGGAGACGTGGAGGAGGCCGTAAGAGGGCAAGAACCCAGCAGCAGGACTGCTACCTCCGCCTTTGTGCAAGGAGGAGCAGGAGGAGCACTGCCAGAGCCCTGCAAAATGACCTCCAGCAGGCCACAAATGTGCATGTGTCTGCTCAAACGGTCAGAAACAGACTCCATGAGGGTGGTATGAGGGCCCGACGTCCACAGGTGGGGGTTGTGCTTACAACCCAACACTGTGCAGGACGTTTCGCATTCGCCAGAGAACACCAATATTGGCAAATTCGCCACTGGCACCCTGTGCTCTTCACAGATGAAAGCAGGTTCACACTGAGCACGTGACAGACGTGACAGAGTCTGGAGACGCCGTGGAGAACCGGTTTGGCGGTGGGTCAGTCATGGTGTGGGGTGGCATTTCTTTGGGGGGCCGCACAGCCCTCCATGTGCTCGCCAGAGGTAGCCTGACTGCCATTAGGTACCGAGATGAGATCCTCAGACCCCTTGTGAGACCATATGCTGGTGCGGTTGGCCCTGGGTTCCTCCTAATGCAAGACAATGCTAGACCTCATGTGGCTGGAGTGTGTCAGCAGTTCCTGCAAGAGGAAGGCATTGATGCTATGGACTGGCCTGCCCGTTCCCCAGACCTGAATCCAATTGAGCACATCTGGGACATCATGTCTCGCTCCATCCACCAACGCCACATTGCACCACAGACTGTCCAGGAGTTGGCGGATGCTTTAGTCCAGGTCTGGGAGGAGATCCCTCAGGAGACCATCCGCCACCTCATCAGGAGCATGCCCAGGCGTTGTAGGGAGGTCATACAGGCACGTGGAGGCCACACACACTACTGAGCCTCATTTTGACTTGTTTTAAGGACATTACATCAAAGTTGGATCAGCCTGTAGTGTGGTTTTCCACTTTAATTTTGAGGGTGACTCCAAATCCAGACCTCCATGGGTTGATACATTTGATTTCCATTGCTAATTTTTGTGTGATTTTGTTGTCAGCACATTCAACTATGTAAAGAAAAAAGTATTTAATAAGATGATTTCATTCATTCAGATCTAGGATGTGTTATTTTAGTGTTCCCTTTATTTTTTTTGAGCAGTGTATATATATATATATATATATATATATATATATATATATATATATATATATAGATATATACGCTGGAGTTGCTTATCAAGACAATATTGAATGTTCCTGAGTGGCCTAGTTACAGTTTTGACTTAAATCGGCTTGAAAATCTATGGCAAGACTTGAAAATGGCTGTCTAGCAAAGATCAACCAACTCTTCAAACAATGCTTGAATGTTTTAAAGAATAATGGGCAAATATTGTACAATCCAGGTGTGCAAAGCTCTTAGAGACTTACCCAGAAAGACTCTCAGCTGTAATCGCTGCCAAAGGTGATTCTAACATGTATTGACTCAGGGGTTGTTTTATTTTCCATTAATAAAAAATAAAAAAAGTATAGAACTTTTGTTCCACTTTGACATTACAGTATTTTGTGTAGATCGTTGACAAAAAAAATGACAATTAAATCCATTTTAATCCCGCTTTTTAACACAACAAAATTAGGAAAAAGTCAAGGGGTGTGAATACTTTCTGAACGCACTGTAATAAGGAGGTACTGTAAATGATGTGTAATATGTCAGTATTATATAGTGAAGTAGAGGGTATTATATAGTGGAAGTAGAGGGTTCATGTTATTTGTGTCAATATGCCAGTGCTATCCACAAGTACACACCGTATAAACTGTGTGTGTGTTTGCGGGCACATTTTAAATGACATTGCGTATTGAAAAATACTGTTTCCGTGTTTGCTCTTCATACTTGTGATTCAAAATAATTGGAAAAAGACTGTTTTCTCATAAGACTGGATGTCAAACCTGGTTGGTGTAGTTTATGACAATGTGTAGCGTGCCTACTGATATATGTTTCTCTTGATTTGTCAATGATTACACACACACACACACACACACACACACACACACACACACACACACAGCAAGACAGAGCAGAACAGGAAACACAAGTGAAGCGGAGGAACACTTACATTATTATACCCCGGTCGTCCAAAACCACCTGCACAATGAAAACAGTCAGATACGTTCACATCCATAGTCATGGAAACATACACAGTATAATTACTGCTCTATACGCTGTCTATGCATCCATCTATTATACATTCATCTATTACTCTATCTATCTATCCCCGAGCCGACTAGGTGAAAAATCTGTCGATGTGCCCTTGAGCAAGGCACTTAACCCTAATTGCTCCTGTAAGTCGCTCTGGATAAGAGCGTCTGCTAAATGACTAAAATGTAAAATGTAAATGTAGTATACATCCATTTATGCATCTACTTATGTATCAATTATTAAACATGTTTGTCTCCCTGTCTCCCTGTCTGTCTGTCTGTCTGTCTGTCTGTCTACAGTATCTATCTATCCCATCCATATTTCCACATAACAGCTCTGTCTGTTTTTACTACTTGTGTGTAGAAGTGTGTACCAATGCCATCGCCCTCGGGTCGTGGACAAGCGTCAGTCAGTACGCGGAGCAGCCCGTCTGGCTTGTAGGAGTAATGCTCCACCAGCTAGAAGAGAAAGCAGGAGTCAGGGTCTCTTAGGAACGACGCAAACCCCCCGAGGTGCCGTATTGCTGTTATAAACTGATTACCAACGTAATTAGAGCAGTAGAAATAAATGTTTTGTCATACAGGTGGTATACGGTCTGATATACCACGGCTGTCAGCCAATCAGCATTCAGGGCTCGAACCACCCAGTTTATAACAGGTACTTTGGGCCAAATAGGAATGTGTAGATACTCTTCATTGATAGGTCATTCATTGTCTGGTTTTGCTTAGTTCAACATAGTACAGTGGGGTCCGAAATGATTGAGTCCCTTGATAAAGATGAGCAAAAATGACTGCATAAAATAATTTAAATACTGAGCTATATTATATGCTCCAAAAAAAATGGTATATTATTTTATGCTAATACAATTGCTCAGAGAAATATATTTTGTTTAACAAGTAATAAAAAAATTTTTTAAAGGTAGGTGTAAAAATGATTGACACCCCTGTTTTCAATACTTCACCTTGCGAAGATAACGGCACATCAAACATCCACCGCCATATTTTACAGTAGGTATGGGGCTCTTTTCTGCTCATGCAGTCTCATTTCGACGTCAAACCCACCGCTGGTGTGCGTGGCCAAAGAGCTCTATTTTCATGTTATACAACAAATCTAAACGCCTGGAGTTTGCTGAACGGCATTGGCACTTGGATTGGAACCGGTGCTATGGTCATATGACATGAAAATAGAGCTCTTTGGCCACGCACACCAGTGACAGGTTTGGAGTTTAAATGTGAATGCATGAGCAAAAAATAACACCATACGTACTGTAAAATATGGTGGTGGATCTTTGATGTATTTGGGGCATTTTGCTTACACTCGTCCTGGGGTTCTTGTTAAGGTCAACGGCATCATGAACTTTAGCCAGTACCATTACATTTTTGCCAAAAACCTGGTTGCCTCTGCCGAACACCAAAACAAACAAAAACTTCACAAAATTCCGTCATAATATATATATATATATATTAGGGCTCGAACCACCCAGTTTATATATATATATATATATATATATATATATATATATATATATATATATATATATAAACTGGGTGGTTCGAGCCCTGAATGCTGATTGGCTGACTGCTGTGGTATATTAGACCGTATACCACGGGTATGACAAAACAATAATTTTTACTGCTCTAATTACGTTGGTAAACCAGTTTATAATAGCAATAAGGCACCTCTGGGGTTTGTGATATATGGCCAATATACCATGGCTAAGGGCTGTATCCAGGCACCTCCTCGGGCCTTATTGCTTAAATATATTATATGCACAAACTGTTTCGACTGGGAAGCATGCGACAGGCTTTACGCAGTTCAACCTCCAACAAAACAACGCTGTGCGGCTGTCAATCTGATTGAATCTAGCCCTATAAGGCATAAACCCCTCTATAAGGCTTGTATTATAGCCTTTATTGGGAGGTTTCCTGGAGACAGATCAAGCCTAATTCTGGACTAAGCATTTTCAATAGAGAGTTAAAACGTTTTAATCCAGGACTAGGCTTAATCTGTGTCCGGGAAACTGCCCCTATAAATTGAAGTTTGTTTAAAGTGGGACCTTAAATAATGATACAGTCTGTGATATTACCTGCCACAGGGTGTCAAACTTCTTCCCATCAGGAATGGAGAGCTTGCCAGCCTTGTCCTTATCGATGCGATAGTGCATGACCTGAGACCCATGTAGGAGACACAAGGCGTAGGAACCATTCAGGTCCCGCTGTCTGATTCTGGAGGGAGACATATGGAAGAGACACAGATGAAGATAAGGAGGAAGATGAGGAAAAAGCCCAATGGTGGAACAAACTCCTCCCTAACGTCAGGACAGCAAAGTCCCTGCCCATCTTCCGAAAAAGTCTGAAACCCTACCTCTTTGAAGAATATCTTAAATAACTCACTTATTTAAGAAACGTGTCTTTTCCCACTAGTATTGACTTTGCTGATAAATACTTTGAGAGGAAAATGCACTTAATATGATTGTGATGTGTTGTTGTCTCACCTAGCTATCTTAAGATGAATGCACTAATTGTAAATCGCTCTGGATAAGAGCGTCTGCTAAATGACTAAAATGTAAAATGCACAAGCTGCAGTGGAGCAGCTTGTGCAAACCCTACCTCTTCAAAAGAGTATCTTAAATAAATCCCACGGCGCCCCCAAATTGTATTTTTCTACTAACACTGACTTTCTGATAACTACTTTATTGAGGAAAAATGTACTGATACGACTGTGATATGTGGTTCTCTCACCTAGCTACCTTAAGATGAACGCACTAATTGTAAGTCACTCTGGATAAGAGCATCTGCTAATGTGACTAACATATGTAAAATGAAAGAGTTCTAGAGTTACAGTAAACTAACTTTCATCAAGGTTAGTACAGTGTTGGATGGGCAAATATTCTTCAATAGATACAGTGGGGAAAAAAAGTATTTAGTCAGCCACCAATTGTGCAAGTTCTCCCACTTAAAAAGATGAGAGAGGCCTGTAATTTTCATCATAGGTACACGTCACCTATGACAGACAAAATGAGGAAAAAAAATCCAGAAAATCACATTGTAGGATTTTTTATGAATTTATTTGCAAATTATGGTGGAAAATAAGTATTTGGTCAATAACAAAAGTTTCTCAATACTTTGTTATATACCCTTTGTTGGCAATGACACAGGTCAAACGTTTTCTGTAAGTCTTCACAAGGTTTTCACACACTGTTGCTGGTATTTTGGCCCATTCCTCCATGCAGATCTCCTCTAGAGCAGTGATGTTTTGGGGCTGTCGCTGGGCAACACGGACTTTCAACTCCCTCCAAAGATTTTCTATGGGGTTGAGATCTGGAGACTGGCTAGGCCACTCCAGGACCTTGAAATGCTTCTTACGAAGCCACTCCTTCGTTGCCCGGGCGGTGTGTTTGGGATCATTGTCATGCTGAAAGACCCAGCCACGTTTCATCTTCAATGCCCTTGCTGATGGAAGGAGGTTTTCACTCAAAATCTCATGATACATGGCCCCATTCATTCTTTCCTTTACACGGATCAGTCGTCCTGGTCCCTTTGCAGAAAAACAGCCCCAAAGCATAATGTTTCCACCCCCATGCTTCACAGTAGGTATGGTGTTCTTTGGATGCAACTCAGCATTCTTTGTCCTCCAAACACGATGAGTTGAGTTTTTACCAAAAAGTTATATTTTGGTTTCATCTGACCATATGACATTCTCCCAATCCTCTTCTGGATCATCCAAATGCACTCTAGCAAACTTCAGACGGGCCTGGACATGTACTGGCTTAAGCAGGGGGACACGTCTTGCACTGCAGGATTTGAGTCCCTGGCGGCGTAGTGTGTTACTGATGGTAGGCTTTGTTACTTTGGTCCCAGCTCTCTGCAGGTCATTCACTAGGTCCCCCCGTGTGGTTCTGGGATTTTTGCTCACCGTTCTTGTGATCATTTTGACCCCACGGGGTGAGATCTTGCATGGAGCCCCAGATCGAGGGAGATTATCAGTGGTCTTGTATGTCTTCCATTTCCTAATAATTGCTCCCACAGTTGATTTCTTCAAACCAAGCTGCTTACCTATTACAGATTCAGTCTTCCCAGCCTGGTGCAGGTCTACAATTTTGTTTCTGGTGTCCTTTGACAGCTCTTTGGTCTTGGCCATAGTGGAGTTTGGAGTGTGACTGTTTGAGGTTGTGGACAGGTGTCTTTTATACTGTTAACAAGTTCAAACAGGTGCCATTAATACAGGTAACGAGTGGAGGACAGAGGAGCCTCTTAAAGAAGACGTTACAGGTCTGTGAGAGCCAGAAATCTTGCTTGTTTGTAGGTGACCAAATACTTATTTTCCACCATAATTTGCAAATTAATTAATTAAAAATCCTACAATGTGATTTTCTGGAGAAAAAAATTCTCAATTTGTCTGTCATAGTTGACGTGTACCTATGATGAAAATTACAGGCCTCTCTCATTTTTTTAAGTGGGAGAACTTGCACAATTGGTGGCTGACTAAATACTTTTTTCCCCCACTGTATGATATACAGTAAATCATCAACACTAGATGGCAACATCCATGAATGACATTCACAAATAAAAGCCGTTGTTTCATGGAATTCCTTTTTTTAATGTAATTGCAGAATTCCTTACGATTGCTATGCATTTGAGAATCCTAACACTAAATGGTTTACGAAAAATACATATTTAAATATGAAATGCATATTTAATTAAAAATAAATCCAAATTTGTTGAAACACACTGAAGTAATGGAAAGGGTGGAGGGAAAGGCTCTTGTTGTATACACCAAGGTTGAGATCCTTCAAATGTTATCAATTCAAATTCAGGATATGACTACAAATGTGTAAAGGAATTTAAAATAATAGGGCACAATTTTCAATACGTTGAACACTGAGAAGTAGCTTTGAGGAAAATACCGCAAAGAGCCACCTTCTAGAATGTTCTCATGAGATAAAGTAGAGCAGTCAAACCCCCCCCCCCCCCCCTCCCCCTCCCTCTCCTCTCACTCCCCCAGCTCTTTGGTCACTCCAGGAAGTCCTCTGCAAACTGTCACAACGGAAACCGCAGCCTGCATCTCTCTCTACAGTCTAGGCCACTGCTGGCGCTTCACAGCACAAACTTATTTTCCTATAAATAGTCTAGACTAAAGACCTCTCCTGTATGTCTTCTATCTTATTTTCAGTGTAGCCAATCTACACTACTTTGCTTATTTTTTTTATTTTTTTTACAAGCTTTAAGAGCTGACATGCACATGTTAGAATTGGCTTGGAAAAAGTAGCTACAAAAGGTTTTTTATCATATAACATTTTCTGCTATGTCATATCCTCACACAGTGTTTTGTTAGGATCTCTAATAGAATGACAAAGTGAAGAGTAGATCATACCACTTGAAGAGCCACGCCAACTGACTTCACACAGCCATGACACATTGTTTTTTAAGTAACCTTGTTGACTGGTGTTACCCCTTATGACAGGTTCATACAATTTTTTCACCTTACACTTTACCCATGGCCATTCAAAGCAAACCATGGGATGTTACGATGGACAGCCATTGTAATTTTAAATGGTCCCTTACAGAAATTTGCCATTGGTGCGAGAGCCCATCTGGAGCCGTGATTCGGAATCCTCACGTGTGATGGTGTGATGGAACCAGGGCATCTTCTCATGGGCGGTGGTGGCGACCAGCTTCTCCAGCTGAGGTCTCTGGCTGATGATAGCTTGCTCCAGGGCCGCCCCCTGAGGACATAAACACAATGACATCTGACCTGTCCCCGACCACTGTATGGCTGCTTCAAGCAATAGGGAAGGTATTCCATAGTGATAGAAATAGCCGACCCTAGCCTTTTGGGGGCCCTAAGCAAAAATTGGGCAAAACATTTCAACGTTCCCCTCTTGACGGCGGGGAGACCAAAAATGACATTTTAGTTAATTTCCTGCAATTTTACACATTTTGCCATGAGGCGTAGAGAATATTTTGCAATTTTCTAACTAATTTCACGCAATTACTCTCATTTTGCCACGAGGTGGAGAGAAAAATGTGCAGTTTTACAACAAATTTCTTGCTATACTACACATTTTCATAGGATGGAGAGAATTCTTTGCCATTTTAAAGCTAATTTCCTGCATTTCTACACATTTTGCCTTGACTTATGCCATGTTAATACGATATCTGAGTGAGAATGACTAACAAAATCAATGGGGGGGCCGCCCCAGAGGTCAGGTCCCCCAGAGGTCAGGTCCCCCAGACTGAGTCCCCCAGACTGAGATTGACTAAATAAGTACCACGTTTGAAGTAAGCGGAACATTTTGCAATGCTGTAAATGACTGTTTAAAGCTGGTTAAAGAAAAAGAGGTTTGTACGGTGCCATTTGGCTAGAAATGAAGACTGCTACTCAGACTAGCTGTTGATAACAAAGCTAGCTTAGCAGTGACACAACAGTGACATCACTCCCGTTTTATCTGGCTGCCTGTAAAGTATCGGTCAGATTCTAAGGTCTTACTCTTAAAGGTCAGATTCTAAGGTCTTGCTCTTAAAGGTCAGATTCTAAGGTCTTGCTCTTAACTTCTAAGGCACTGCATGGACTGGCCCTCTCTTATCTGACAGTCTGCTTACGGTTCCTGGATGCAGAATCAAGGCGCGGGGTCGTGGCGTTCTCTATTAAAGCACCCCAGTGGTGGAACAGCTCGCCGTGTCAGGTAAGAGGTGGGGGGGGTGTGACACCATTGAGATACTTAAATCACTTTTTTTTTTAAATCCCACCTTTATGGCCAAGCTTTTAATATGTGATTATTTTAGACGTCCTGTTCTTTCTGTGCTCTTCTATTATCGTTTTAATTTAAAGTGTGTTGCGATTCTAAATGCACTTCAAATAAAGTTGGATTCGATAACATCAGCTAGCTGTTGATAACGACGCTAGTTTAGCTGCGACACAACATTATCAACAGTAACAAAACATCCTGCATGGCAAAACTGCCTAAAGTGTCTTTAGTCACACTTCGCACAGATAGTTATTTTGTAATTTTGAGTTGTTGGATGGAGTTATTGCATAATAAATACAAGGTAACTTTAGGCCTACTATAGCAGTAACACATTTGAGACAGCATTGGGTCATTTCCCTTTCAATCAATCACTATTTCATTTACCATTTATGTGTCTGCACTTAACATGTACAACTAAGTAATTCTTGTCACTAAAGTTGGTATAGAGTAACAACATGGCATCAAGGTTTATTTATTAATGAAGGAATTAAATCAATGAACCAACGAATAAATGAATGAACCAACTAACCAATCAGTCAAGTCAATCGATCAGACCAACCAACCTACGGTGAACCCAAGTATTCCTACTAACCTGCAGGTTCCAGGTCTTTTTCACGTACTCTCTGATCAGCTTCTCCTTGAGGTCCTCAAAAGGCCCCACCTTGGGCTGCATGCCCTTGGGCCTGTTGTAAGGCATTTTCAGCAGACACACCAGCCCTTCGCACTTCTGGGAGTGGTAGTCGATCACATCCACGGGGGATCGATGGCTCTTCCCGCCAATGATGGCGTACGTGCCGTTGTGCTCCCTCTCGATGGTGTAGTGGTAGCATTCCCGCCTGTATGCCACCGACAAGGCGTAGCCCCCTAAGTAGCTCCGGCTCTGCCGTATCAGGTACATGCCGTCGCCCATGCCACCCTGCCGCAGGTAGTCCTCCGCGTCCTCCCGGGTGATGTTGCCATAGAAGAAGGGCAAGGAGTTTACTCTGTCGTCCATTATTTCGTCTCCTGGTTTCTTGGCTGCGCCGGAAATGCCCGAAAATAAGGTTTGCTGTGACTCTCTCAACGGAGACCTATGAGAGGGAGTAGATTCAAAAGATCACGATACAGGTGAAATGTGCACGACAATTGGTTGGTGTCCGACTTGTGAGAATGTAGTACCTAACCATCATTTGACTACACACACATCTAACTCCACTCAAAGCTTCTGTGAAACCTATTTTACTGATGCTTGCATTTGCTGATTACAGATATTGTGTACTAGTTAGTGCTATGTAACAGATTACACTACACTGTTATTACATTGTACCTGCCAAGTGCCAACCATGTAACTACTGTTCCATGGGACTGCAATATGGGACCGTTAATATCATAGACATAGAACTTATATCAGCATATTGACTATGGCTAATTCAATATGTTGAATTAAAGGTTCATATATTTCAAACCCTACATCAATATACTGTGGAATGTGACCGATACAGTAGTCCCGCCCAAAGCCACGACAGCATCATCACAGTAGCTCTACAGAGAAGGCCTATGTGGCAGATGTAGTGTGAAAGACGCCAGCAACGCTTCACTGCGTCTCTGAGCAGAATTCAGTGTTCACACACAGTATGATAACTAGATAGCACAACCCTAGAGTCTCCACTGCAGCTTGTGCATCTTACATTTTAGTCATTTAGCAGACGCTCTTATCCAGAGCGACTTACAATTAGTGCATTCATCTTAAGATAGCTAGGTGAGACAACAACACATCACAATCATATTAAGTACATTTTCCTCTCAAAGTATTTATCAGCAAAGTCAATACTAGTGGGAAAAGACAAGTTTCTTAAATAAGTGAGTTATTTAAGATACTCTTCAAAGAGGTAGGGTTTCAGACATTTTCGGAAGATGGGCAGGGACTCCGCTGTCCTGACTTTAGTGGGAAGCTTGTTCCACCATTGGGGTTCCAGGACAGAGAAGACCAAAGGTGGCAGAACGGAGTACTTGGATTGAGATGTAGGGTTTGAGCATAGCCTGAAGTTAAGGAGGGGCAGTTCCCCTTGCTGCTCCGTAGGCAAGCACTAGGGTCTTGAAGATGATGTGATCTTTGACTGGATGCTAGTGGAGGAGCGGGGTGACATGGGAGAACTTAGGAAAGTTGAACACCAGGCAGGCTGCGGCATTCTGGATAAGTTCCAGGGGTTTGATGGTACATGCGGGGAGCCTAGGCAACAGAGAGTTGCAGTAGTCTAGATGGAAGATGACAAGTGCCTGGATTTGGACTTGCACCGCTTCTTGTGTGAGGAAAGGTCGTACTCTACAGATGTTGTAGAGCATGAACCTGTAGAAGCACGTCACTGCTTTGATGTTTGCAGAGAACGACAGGGTGTTGTCCAGGGTCACGCCAATGTTCTTTGCACTCTGGGAAAGGGACACCGTGGAGTTGTCAACCGTGATGGAGAGATCTTGGAGTGGGCAGGCCTTCCCTGGGAGGAATAGCACCTCCGTTTTGTTGAGGTCGAACTTGAGGTGATGGGCCGACATCCAAGCTGGGATGTTTGCCAGGCATGCAGAGATGCGTATCGCCACCTGGGTGTCAGAAGAGGGGAAGGAGAAGAGTAGTTGAGTGTCATCCACATAGCAATGATAGGAGAGACCGCGTGAGGATATGACAGAGCCGAGTGACTTGGTGTATAGAGAGAAGAGGAGAGGGCCTAGAACCGAGCCCTGGGGGACACCAGTAGTGAGAGCACATGGTGCAGAAACAGATCCTCTCGACGCCACCTGGTAGGAGCGACCTGCCAGGTAGGATGCAATCCAGGAGTTTCCAGAGCCTTAGACGCCTAACCCTGAGAGGGTGGAGAAGAGGATCAGATAGTCTCGAAGGCAGCGGATACATCTAGGAGGATGAGAACAGAAGAGAGAGAGAGTCAGCTTTGGCAGAGCGGAGAGTCTCTGTGACACAGAGGAGAGCGGTCTTAGTTGAGTAAGTCGCCTTGAAGCCTGACTGATTAGGGTCAAGAAGATTGTTCTGAGAGAGATAACGAGAGAGTTGGTCAGAGACAGCACGCTGAAGTGTTTTGTAAAGAACAGTGAAGGCCTATGTGGCAGATGTAATGTGAAACACGTCCGCGACACTTCACTGTATCTCTGAGCAGAATTCAGTTTTATTTTACATCAGAGGGGTTGAGTGTGGTTGGTTTCTTGAGGAGGGGAGCGACTCTGGCCATCTTGAAGTCAGAGGGGACACAGCCAGCGGTCAGGGATGAGTTGATGAGGAAAGTGAAGAATGGGAGGTCAGTGGGCTCAGTAGGCTGAGTGAATGAGGAGTGGATGTTGTCAACTTTTTTTTCAAAGTGGTTGACAAAATCGTCCGCAGAGAGTGAGGAGGGGGGGGGGGAGGGGAGGTGGAGGATTAATGAGGGCTGAGAAAGTGGAGAAGAGTTTCCCAGAGTTGTAGGCAGAAGCTTGACATTTAGAAAGTGGCTTTAGCAGCAGATACAGGGAAAGAGAAGGTAGAGAGGAGGGAGTGAAAGGATGATAGGTCCTCCGGAAGTTTTGTTTTCCTCCATTTCCGCTCAGCTGCCCGCAGCCCTGTTTTCTTAGCACGCACTGAGTCACTCAGCCACGGAGCGGGAGGTCGAGCCGGCCAGGAGGAAAGGGGACAGTAAGAGTCAAAGGATGTAGAAAGGGAGGAGTGTAGGGTCGAAGAGGCAGAGTCAGGAGACAGGAGGGTGAAGGATTTAGCAAAAAGTAGAAAGGATAGAATGTATTGGGAAAAGGAGAGCGAAGATTGCGACGGCGCATGACCATCTGGGTAGGGGCTGAGTGGCCAAAAAGTGTAGGGACTGAAGGTCAATATAGGCTGAGATGAACTCAGCCTTATTGACCGCAGTTCGGCAATTCTAAAAGCTGCCGGAGACTAGGAATTCCACATGAGCCCAGGATACACTAAATTAGAAGGGTTGCAGCCACGGGGTGGGGAGCATCTGTAAAACCTACAGGGAGAGGAGTGGACAGGAATGGGAAACACAGTTGACAAAGCTACAAAGAAGAACAATTTGATCATCAGAAAATAACTAGGTAAGATATTCAAGTGAGAGAGTGGTGTAGAGCCTTCCACTCTTTCCTTCCTCGAAGAACTCGGCAGAACAACTCAGCAAAACAATTCGGCAGGATGTCTTTGTGTTGGCGACAACACCGCTGCTTGACAATACCACCGCCTACAGCTGCCGCTGAAAAAACAGGGGAGACTGAAGTACTAGCACAAATTCCCTAGCAGAGGTGAAAGACCCACCTCCCAGCACTGATTGCTGATTGCTGATTGCATGGCAAAGGTGAAGAAAACACCCCCTACAATACAACACGCCAACAAACTAGCAAAACTGTTACAAAAATAGCCCTGAAACTGTCCACAACGACAGTCACAAGTACTGACCAATCAGACAGATCAAACAGCAATGATTAAAAGTCGGCTACTATTAAAAGACAGCGCTTAAATTCAACTGCCCTAGCGAGACAATAACAACAACTACTTATTGAATAAAACATATATACTTGCTGCTCTTGTAGGAGCTGATGTCCTTCCAAACTAAAGATGACGCAGCCTTTATCAAAATCTCTCCTGACAATTGTTATGCAATCAAATTTGAATGCACATGAAAAAAATAAAGCTTTTGATTCTGATGAAGAGCGATTGGATGATATGATATTCTGATGAAGAGCGATTGGATGATATGATATTCTGATGAAGAGCGATTGGATGATATGAACACACCTACAAATAAGCTATCTCAAAATAGTATAAATATAGTGTAGTATAAAACAATCATGTGATGTGCCTTTAATGTCTGTCACTTTGTTTAGTAAACTGAGGGATGGATGGGGCTGGGGAAATATGACAACTCTAGATATAAATATCTATGAGCTATGTTACACGCTTCGGTTTTTCCATTTATTTTTTTTAGGTTGGAATTTAGCACGTATAGCTCATTAGCACATAGGACGCACCGATTGGTGTCACCTCGTTAGTCAGTATGCGTTACACATGTGCTGGTTGCCATCTCGTTTGTGGGAAGATGTTTCACCTGTACTGGTTACCATCTCGTTAGTGGGAAGGTGTTCCACCTATGGATGCAAAGACTGATAATGCATGAGATGAACATGATCAGTTCATATTTATGATAATGGTAAGATTAGACAGTTGATTGATTGATAAGTTATTTGTATTGCTATCAATTGATTATGGTCATTGAACAGCAGGTAATCTTACAGTTTGTGCCTTTAAAGTAATAACATATTATAACGTTAACAGTTTCCCTCTCATCTTCAAGGAAAACTTGAAAAGCCTTCTGACATATTGAACTGTTGGGAAGCAAATTGAATTCCTGTCTCTGACAACATTTTTAATGGTAACTTAGCAATTGGTGACGGAATGAAACTGAAGAGTCATGCTAATTCTTCGGAGGAAAGCGTCTGAGGTATTAGCCCTGGCCTGAGGACAGACAGGTATTAGCCCTGGCCTGAGGACAGACAGGTAGTAACCCTGGCCTGAGGACAGACGGGTATTAGCCCTGGTCTGAGGACAGACAGGTAGTAACCCTGGCCTGAGGACAGACAGGTAGTAACCCTGGCCTGAGGACAGACGGGTATTAGCCCTGGCCTGAGGACAGACGGGTAGTAACCCTGGCCTGAGGACAGACGGGTATTAGCCCTGGCCTGAGGACAGACGGGTATTAGCCCTGGCCTGAGGACAGACAAAGATAAGACTGCCAGATAATGACTCTGATGTCAGCCATGCCCAGTGTGATTCTTCACTGAAGGCCTGTTATCCGATATAATTAATCAAATATTTAATAGAGGGTAAAACCCCAAAGGTTCATGGGAAATATATCTTTAACCTTCGATACCAATACATTTTCTCTTAGGAAATTGGTTGGGGGAAAAAATGTGAGTTAAATAAAAAAAATTGAGCTTCCTTTAACCTAAACAAACTTAAGCAGAATTATCAACTTGATACTGACAATGTTGTGTACAGAATCAGATGCATAATTAATTGTCAACAATTTGTTTTTATGATTCATATTAACTC